GTTGAATGAGAGGCGGTGGTAGTGGGGAACCAAGGGGGGCCACTCCAGCAGCTGTGCTTCGAGAGTCTAAGCAACACTGCCGGCAGCAAGACGCTTCTTCACAATCACTCTCAAGCCTGAATGCCAGAAAAGGGGGACGGGCCAGGCTGGGCTACGTTTCTGCATTGGAAAATTGTGGTTTTAACCCAGAGCTGCAGTGCAGATAAGTCTTAAAGCCTTTCCCAGAATGAAACTAAGGAGCACGTAATGAAGATCCAAGGAGGTTGATTCAAGACTGTCAAACAAATACAGCACTTCACACGATGCAGCAGTGATGGAACTCACCATCACAAATTTTAGTGACAGTGGCTAACTTAGTTTTTTTTAAAAGGTATTGGGCAGATTCATGGAGGTATATATCAGTGGAGATGCAGCAGTGATGGAACTCGCCATCACAGAATTTAGTGACAGTGGCTAACTTAGTTTTTTAAAAAAGGCACTGAACAAATTCATGGAGAATTAGCCAGGACACCTAAACAACACTTCTGTGTTCAGAAGCAGTATACCTTTGAACCCCATCTGCCAAGAGAGGCCTTTGTGACCTTTTGGGGAGGTGTCTGGTTGGCCAATGTGGGAAAGAGGATCAATCATGGTTATCAGAAGAAGAAGAGATTGGATTTCTTCTACCCCACCTTTCACTACCCAAGGGAGTCTCAGAATGACTTACAAACTCCTTTCTTTTCCCCTCCCCATGACAGACACCCTGTGAGGTAGGTGGGGCTGAGAGAGCTCTAAAAGAAACTGCTCTTTTTCAAGAACAGCTCTTATCAGAAGAACTATGGCTTGTCCAAGGTCATCCAGCAGCTGCAAGTGAAGGAGTGGGAAATCAAACCCGGTTCTCCCAGATTACAGTCCGTGCACTTAACCACTACACCAAACTAGCTCATTCAGCAGTGCTCCGAGTTAGCTCATCAACCTTTTACCCATACCACCCTGTTCCTGCGCCAAAGACGCTTCCTTTCCCTCCCTTCCCCCACCCGTTTCTGAACAAAATTCTTGGTGGACTGTCTCAAGGCTCACCTTCCTTATCCTGAATTTTTGCTTTTACATTCTCAATCGTGTCACTGGGTTCCACCTCAAGGGTGATTGTTTTCCCAGTCAGGGTTTTCACAAAAATCTGCATGGTGGCAGCTGCGTATCACCTGGGGGAGGGGGGAAGAAGACACAGTCAAAATAACAAAGTGTTGGATTCAGAGCGAAAACAGCTGACTTTAGGTCTCTGCTCCGCCGGTAGGCAAAGTTTTCTTCCCCAGATTGCAGAACTGGGGACCTAGAGGCTGAGCTAACAGTGACCCGCAAGACATCAGCCTGTGGTTATTAGCCACCATGTGTTGCTACCAGATAAACAAACACAAGGGAAGAAATAATCAAGTTAATCACACAGAACATTTTGAGCACCGGGTGCGAATCAGTATCTATTGTCAGCACGACTTCCAAATTTTACATAATGAGATATTCACTCAGTGGGGAGAGATTTGCAGTTTACGATTTTTCGTTTAACCGGAAACGTTTTAACTATTCATAGAATAGAATCATTAGAGTTAAAAAGGGCCACACAGGCCTTCAGTCCAACCCCCTGCTCAGTGCAAGATCAGCCTAAGGCAGCCCTGACAAGCAACGTTCCCTCTAATTCTTCCCCCGAGCAGAATGTAACTACTATAATCTTAAAATGATCAATGGGCAGTGCAAGACCCTGTGCGGCTCCAGACTGTTGCTGAGTGGGGCTTCCTGTGTTAATGAGTGGCCGCTCACGTGCGCAGCTTAGAGGGAACAGTGCCGACAAGTGTTCATCCAGCCGCTGCTTGAAGACTGTCAATGAGGGGGAGCTCACCACCTCCCTAGACAGCTGATTCCACTGCTGAACTTTTTCCTAATATCCAGCCAATATCTTTCCACCTGTAATTTAAACCCATTATTGCAAGTCCTATCGTCTGCTGCCAATGGCAATGGTTTCCTGCCCCCTTCTATTACTGTAAGCTATCTTGAATCACAAAGAAATGCAGGATATGTTTTAACAGAAAATGGCAGCTAGCAGCAGACGCAACCCTGTCAAACTCAAGCACGCCTAGTCTCCCTTTTCCACCCCACGGTTGCCAACCTTAAGGTGGCAGCTGGAGATCTCTTGCGAACACAACTGATCTCCAAGCGACGGAGGTCAGTTCACCTGGAGAAAATGGATACTTCCGAAGGTGGCTTTATATGGCATTATAACCCACTGAAGTCCCTCCCCTCTGCAATCCCCGCCCCCTCAGTCTCCACCTCCCCCAATTCCCAGGTATCTCCCAACCAGTGTTCCCTCTAAGCTGAGTTAGTGTGAGCCAGCTCACAGTTTTTTAACCTCCAGCTCACACATTTTTGTCTTCACTCAGGAAGGATGGGGCTCCAGAGCAAACTAATCTATGCTGCAGCCAAATCGCTTGCTCACCACTTTAAATGCCAGGAACTCACAAGGCAGAATTTTTGCTCACAGGACTCCACAGCTTAGAGGGAGCACTGCTCCCAACCGGTGTTCCTTCTAAGCTGAGTTAGTGTGAGCTAGCTCACAGTTTTTTAGCCTCCAGCTCAGACATTTTTGTCTTAGCTCAGGAAGGAGGGCTCCAGAACAAACTAATTGATGCAGTAGCCAAATTGTTTGCTCACAACTTTAATGCCAGTAGTTCACAAAGTGGAATTTTTGCTCACAGGACTCCACAGCTTAGAGGGAACACTGCTCCCAACCCAGAGCTGGCAACCCCATCCGACCCGTCTTGTGGCTCCCTCCTCCCGCTGAGATCCAGGTCACCCTAAACACAAGACGGGCGTTCTTGGGCAGGAGCCGAACAAAAGGAACAAATAAAAATCCCCAAATACAAAATAAAGCAGAGAGAGAGAGAAGTCACGGACTGGGGAGGAAGGCACACATTAGTTGGCTGACCAAGACCTACGAAGCGGAGACGGAAACACAGATAAATCGATACAAATACCCACGAAGCCCCCCGCTCCCCCTTTTCTCCTTCTTCTCCCCCATCCCAGCCCCGGGGGAGGACCCAGGCGTCCGAGCCGAGGCCCCCTCTCGCCACCCACCCGCCACGCGCTCCTCCAGCCTCCCTCGGCCGAACAGAAAAAGAGCGAGCTCCCCGCGGCGGAAGCGGAAATGCACCCTTCTTCCGCTTCCTTACACTAACTTTGGTCTATATTCCCCGCCCGTCTCGTCACAGGCGTCGCCTAGGCGACGGCATCGCCTTTCCCGGCTGTCTAACCAATCAAGCCGCACGCAGAGATGTGTCGTAATCACGCAGAAACCTCTCTCCCCTTCCCGAGTCACCACCCTCGAGTCTGGCTGGGGCGGGGAGGGGGGAGCCAAAGAGGAAAAGGCATTCGGTTACACTGTAGAGAGACACTTCCCGTTTCCAATTGAAGGAGAGGTAAGGGAGCGGTGAGAGGACGGCGGAAGACAGGAAGGCCTGGCGTGATCTGGTCGATGGGGTCGCGAAGAATCGGACTCGACTGTGCGACTGAACAACAACAAGGGAGCGGTGAGCGACTGCAGCCGCCTGCGAACGCCCCTCTTCGTTGCCGTGTTCGAAGGAGAACCGGAAGTGTAAATACACAGGCTTTATCTCTTTAAAGCAGAGAGGGGAGGAGCGACGCTCCTCCTCGACGCCGAAGCTGCGTCACAAATAGCCACGCCCCCTCCAAAAGCACGGGCAGGGGCTCGCTTACTCCTTACTGCGCAGGCGCGCATGTCACAATACAGGTGATCGTTCTTTTGCTAGTAGATTTCGACGCGGTTGCGCGGCTTTCCGTGAAGATGGGTGTAAAGACTTGTAAACTGTAATAATAAATAATATTTCTTGCTCGGGATTTATGTCTGAAGACCTTTTGTAAGAAAATCACTAAAATACAGTTTGTCTGTGTAACCCTTGTCATAAAAGGTTTAAAATTTAGGGAGCAGGAGGTCACAGTTCCTCACATATCGCCAACTGCAAGAGCTGCACTCCCTCGGTCTGTCTGGCCTGCAGCAGAAGAGAAGACCCAGAGCTTGGCTGAGGGAACTGCTTATTTCCATACAAATACATGGTGGGCCCAACCAGGGCAAAATTGCAGATTAGAATTCCCTTTTAGGAGCTAGATCAAGATGGGTAGCCACGGGAGTCCGTCTGCAGCAGTAGAAAAGAGCAAGAGTCCAGTGGCACCTTAAAGACTAACAAAAATTTGCGGCAGGGGAGGAGCTTTCGTGAGTCACTGCTCACTTCAGATACCTCGGTAGCAGTAGAAAAGAGCAAGTCTCTCCACTTTTAAAGCTAAAGAGTTTTTGAAACGCCAGTTGGGGACAGATGATGAGTCCAAAGAGGGAGAATCGAAGTCGAGTGACTCTGCTACCTCGGGAACGGAAGAGGATTCTGCGGCAGAAAAGGGTGCGGAACCTGCCAGAGTGGTATACGATTTTAGAGACAGAAAGCCAAAGTAAAGGCAAATGGACTTGGAAAATGGCCTTTTGAAACGAAGAATAAGAAGATGATCAGAGACTTCTCTCATAACAACAAAGTAACATATAAGAAGCGAACTGTTGTAAGCAAGAACTCAACAAGTATATTGTGATAATAAAACTAATTATACTAATATATTTACTAACAGTGAAAAGATCTCCTCCTCTTGGGGTTTTAGTTGTGTGGTTTGCTTTTCTTTCTCCTTAGTTGTAGTCCCTCCCCTATATTTCTTTGTAGTTTGTAGTATTTGCAAAATAAAAAATATCCCTATGGGGATTTAAAAAAAAAAGAAAAAGAGCAAGAGTCCAGGAGCACCTGAAAGACTAACCAAATTTGTGGCAGGGTAGAAGCTTTTGAGAGTCACCGCTCACTTCTTCAGATAGTTTTATAAAGGGTTTGTCAATCTGTTAGTTGTTTTGATTAAAGATGTGGTTTAAAGTCTGGTGTAGTGGTTAAGAGCGTGGACTCTAATCTGAGAGAACCGGGTTTGATTTCCCCACTCCTGTGTGTGCAGCTGCTGGTGTGACCTTGGGCCAGCCACAAGTTCTCTCAGGAGCAGTTCTCAGAGCTCTCTCAGCCCCACCTACCTCACAGGGTGTCTGTTGTGGGGAGGGAAAGGAGTTTGTAAACTGCTCTGAGACTCTTGAGTGACGGGCGGGGTATAAATCCAATCTCCCCTTCTTCTAAAGCTTTTCACCAGCAGGAGCTTGAGGGAAGAAACTGCTAATTTCTTTGCAGGACCAAGCCTGAGAAATCCAGAGCAGTCGTAGCGACTACTGAAGAGCACATGGGGAAGGGTGCAGCCCTGCCATTTCTCTAAATGAACATTTCCCCCCTTTTCTTGTGTTACTGGGCACTGTTTGCTAGGGTTTGCCATTGTTCTGAAGAGCCTGTTGTGCAAACGTCGGTCGCTATGTTCATAGCCACTGTGATTCAGGTTCACCTGAAACTGCAAAGCAGTTGGGTTTATGAGAACTCTTTGTTACCTTGAATGTTTCCTTTTTTTTAAAGCAATTTTGCAACTGCTTATCAAGCCACAAGGGTGCTGCACTTTATTGACTTGCACCCATAAAGGGTGAAGACTGGCTTGCTTTCAAAAGCACCGAGCAGAACGCTGTGAGCACATGCCCAGGACACTTCATCCCCCCCCCCATGGAACAAACATTCCCTCTAATTTCCAGAGCTCTTAGGACACAGTGCCTCTGTGCATACAGTGACTAGCCTATCCCCTGCAGAAACCTCTGCTGCTTTCCCCAAGAAAGGAGAATTGTTTGGCCCTGTATAGAGCCAAGGTTCCCCCTCCCCCACAACACCTGCCTCTGAAATACATATTTTTCTTACACAATTACAGCCTCCTCCTCTGACAACAGGCTGATGCAATTCTTGCCTCTTGGGAAGCCAAGCTGCATCCGCCTTTATCAGCTAGCAGGGCACGTCCTAACCAATGCTCCCTCTAAGCTGTGGAGTCTTGTGAGCAGAAATGCTACTTTTTGAGCTACTGGCATTAAAGCTGTGAGCAAGCAATTTGGCTGCTGCATCAATTAGTTTGCCCTGGAGCCATCCTTCCTCAGCTAAGACAAAAATGTGTGAGCTGGAGACTAAAAACCTGTGAGCTAGCTCACCCTAACTCGGCTTAGAGGGAACACTAACTCAATAGATCGGCACAGACTGACCCGTTTGGTGTAGTGGTTAAGTGTGTGGACTCTAATCTGGGAGAACCAGGTTTGATTCCCCACTCCTCCACTTGCACCTGCTGATGTGACCTTGGGTCAGTCACAAGCTCTGGCACAGCTGTCCTTGAAAAAGAGCAGTTTGTGTCAGAGTTCTCCCAGCCCCACCCACCTCACAGGGTGTCTGTTGTGGGGAGGGGAAGGGAAAGGAGTTTGTAAGTCGCTCTGAGACTCCAAGTGAAGGGCGGGGTATAAATCCAATCTCTTCTTCTCCTCCTTGACTCTAATCGATGAGACAACTTTCTGATGAACGCAACTCTTTTATTGGTTATCGCCTCTTTATTAGTCTCTGTAAACTTTTAGCGGTACAAAAATATTTCTTCTTTATGTTTTTGCATCTTGTGAGATTACACCGGGGGGAGGGGGTGTCAACGCCTCCCCCCTCTCTGCGCACAAAACGTTATTGTTCCTGTGCTGAACTCTGGCAAAGGAACTCTTAATACAGACAGTGGTGCCACAGTGGGGAAGGGAGACTAAAAACCAGGCAAAGGACGTGGACACCCTTTGTGGTGCTGTAAACAGAAGGCGGGGGCTGTCAAAACAGGGCTTAACGAGGACAGAAAGCAATCAGACGGCTAAATGTACTTCCTGCAAGGTGAACGCTTTGATGCACAGGGGCCTCCATTTTTTAGCTATTAACGTGCATCGCTGGAGGCCAGGAGTGGACGTATACCTTTTACACTGAGTCAGAGGAAGCCGTGGTAGATAACGACAGAGCCCTTGCACCCTGTTGGGTTAAGCAGGCTTGTAGGGAACTGGGGACCACACCTCAGCTAAAGCAACAGAGGTCTTTGGAAAGAACCACTGCGGCAATCTACCTGAAATGTCACCTGCGCAAACCCCGTATCTGGACAGGAGCCGTGTGTGATCACGGCTTGTAGCAAAGGGGGTCCAGGCAACGACTGCTGATGGACTGGGCTCCAGGGACAGACTGAAGCTAACACAGAGGCTGCACTAGGGGGACATATGTGTGACTGGAGAAAGACGGAGTCGCCCATTCTCACCTGCTCTCCTTCCTGTCTCCTCGGATGTACTTCTGCTCTCCAGCTAGAGGCTGCAGCTTTGAGAACCTGGCTTTGTACAGTCTGCCCAAGAGATAATTTACAGACCAGGCTACAGCAAATGGGAGAGGGCAGGCTGCATAATTTGTCGCCTCAATGAATCCCCGTAACGAGAATACAGCCGTTACCGGTGGCCCAAACCCGGCAGGCGCACCTTTGTGCAAGCAAGTGAGCAACGCAGCTGGCTGGTTCCCCCGCAATTTGGATCCCGTTAATGTACAAACTCGCTCCGCATTTGGCAAGTGAGGGATTGGCGCCGTCAGGGAAGTGACAGTTCATGCACAAGCCCCTGTGCCCACGCTGACTCCTCTCTCCTAGGACATGGAAATAATTGGGCAAGACGACACAGAGATACAGAGGTGAAAGGGATGGGCCTCCGGTGTGTGGTCCTGACGGTGGAGGAAGGAAAAGCCCATAGCGCTGAGGCTTTGCCCGGCAGTCTAGTCCGTCTCGTTGCCATCGTCATCTGTGACGCTCTGTCCGTTCACTGCCGGCGAGTCGTAGGGGCCCTGGGAGAGGTCTTCGAAGTCATGGCTCGTGGTGGGGGAGATGATATCTGGGCTGGTGTCGCAGGATTCAGTGCTCTGCTCTGAGGTAGCGATGGTCGTGGCGGTGCTCTTGGGGATGGGGTCGAAGTCGTCATCCTCCAGGATGGGAGATTCGTGGATATCTACGAAAGAGAAGGGGAGAGGCGATCGGACACCCTGGACTGGTTCCCGCTTCTTGCAAGCACTTGCTTACTGAACGACGGGAGAAGAAGCGAGGAATCACTCGGGAGGTCTTGGGCGAGGTGCCTTGTCCAAAGCCTGCCCAAACACTGGCCTTCCGTGTCACAGATGGCTGAGATAATGTTTGCAGTGGGGACAAATGTTCATGTTGCACATGAAAAGCAACATACCAACATTATCATCCATTCCATCACTCTCGAGCATGACCCAGAAACAGAAACCACAGATGAGCTACGCTCCCTGGCTGGAGTCAACAGGAAAAGGGCAGAGTGTCCCTTTTCCCCTTGAGAAGGCGGCTCCAGAGCATGAACAGACACAGCAAGAGGCTCGTAAAGCCTCCCTGGTTACAACATGTGTTGAGCTCTTAATACTCCAAAGCACAGGTGCAGTGTTGAGCTCTTAATACTCCAAAGCACAGGTGCAGTGTTGAGCTCTTAATACTCCAAAGCACAGGTGCAGTGTATCTTGGATTATCGCTGTGCCTAATAGTTAAGCACTTGGGACCCATTCCAAGTCCCAACCAGAGCAAAGCAAGACACCCACATGGAGGGTTTGCACCTATTCAAAGGTAGGCTTACCAAGTCCTTACCGAGAATCGGCGGGGGACACATACTTCTTCTCAGGACCATTCCCGCATGGAAAACAGACGTGCCGCACCATGCCGTCGCCAGGAAGTGATGCTGGGTGACGCTCTGGCAATGGGGCTGGAAACTCGATGGTACCATCGAGTTTCCAGACCCATTGTCAGAGCGTCGCCCGGCATCACTTCCTGGCGAGGGCATGGTGCGGCGTGGGTGTGTTACATGTGTCATGTGTCCCCCGCCGATTCACCGTAGATACTTGGTAACTCTAGTCAAGGGAGTAGCCACGTTGGTTTGCAATGGAACAGCTAGATTCCAGCCCAGGAAGACCTTAAAGAGCAACAAGGTTGTTTTGGGCACAAGCTTTTCAGAGTCTACACTCCCTGACACAGTGCATGCTGCAAAACATCTTGTTGGCCTCTACGGTGTTCCTGGACTGGGACCTACTCAAGGAACTCCCTACGCGTGCGGGAAAATGGGACTTCGAACCCCACCCCCAATAGTGTCGATGAGGCCTGAGCGTACTTCAACCGGCTGGGGAAAGCAGCTGAAAGTTCCTTAAAAGAAAAATGGATTCAAGGTAAAGGGGTTGGGGCAGTGTTCCCTCTAAGCTGAGTTAGTGTGAGCTGGCTCACAGTTTTTTAGCCTCCGGCTCACAGATTTTTCTCTTAGCTCAGGAAGGAGGGCTCCAGAGCAAACTAATTTACACAGTCGCCGAATCGCTCGCTCACAACTTTAATGCCAGTAGCTCACAAAGTAGAATTTTTGCTCACAAGACTCCATTGCTTAGAGGGAACATTGGGGGTGCTTCAACTGAGAAAAAGGAAGGTTTGGGGATGGGATTTCCAAACGGTTATACTTCTGCTCCACAGTCCCCCAGGCCCCCGATATGCCACTGCTAAGCATAATGCAACATTTGGTGTTGAGGATTAAGATTGTTGTGCCCTGTTTGGGAATAGAATTGGAGACAACACGCGTGGACATGTGTGAGGCTGCCTTATACCAAATCAGACTATTGGTCCATGAAGGTCAGTATTGTCTACTCTGATTGGCAGCGGCTGTCCAGGGTCTCTCACATCACCTCCTACCCGGTTCTTTCAACTAGAGATGGCGAGGATCGAACCTGAGAACCTCTGCATGCAATGTAGAGGCTCTTCCACTGAGCCACAGTCCCTCCCAACATACAACATGCTCAGACTTACTGCTAAAGGCCTCTGGATACTGTTTTGCTAGCTTCCCTTTCAGTGTCCTGCAAGAGACAGAAGGTAAACCGTAAACAGGATGAAAGTAATGGGAAGACAATGCTACATAAAAATATAGGAGTCCCTCATTTCCACACTTCATTCAAAGCGGCCCACAGTTCCACACACTGGGCCAGAATCTGCTGCCCAAGAATCAAAGCTGCACTACCAAGACTTGGTGAAGTCTAAGTTCCAGGCCAGGCAGAGGGCCCTGAGGTCATGGGGCTGCTGGCCCGCCCACCTGATTCTCCGGAAAATGCTGTCCAGGTCTTTCTTCATCTCCACCAGTGTCCGGGTGTGATGGAGGAAACGCTCGTTCATCTGCTGCATTCGCATGCAGGACAGGTTGTTGAAGTTCAGCAGCATCTCATTGGTCTTCTCAAATCGGTCAAGCCTGGACAGGAAGGCAAACCGGTTTAATTGTGCTGGCTCAGAAACTTTTGTGTCAGACCTCCTCTGTTCTTGCTACCTGAGGTCAAGGACCCATCTTTGGGGATACAAGCAGCGTTACACAAGTAGGGCTACAGGAAAGTTCCGCCCTTCCTTCCTTTTCAAGGATCTCAAGTCAGCTTCCTGGTCTAAGAAGGGATAGACTACTCCCTTGTGGGTAACCCTCCCCCGGCCAAACTCCATGCAGAGAATTCAGTCTTTTCAGAATTCAAAAGAAAGCCAGTCACCAGAGATGGTTTCGAAAGAGGGTTCTTCCAGTGGCCTGGAGTTCCTCAAGCTTCTCTCTCACCTGGAAAGAGACTGTCCATGACAATCCTTGGGCTCCAAAAGCTAGCACTGTGCCATACCATGTCTTTGTTTCTCCCACCCTGCTCGAGCAATACTTGAGCAGACTATTGCACAAGAGGACGTCAGCAGGAGAGGAAATCATGCTGCTCCTCCAGTTTCTCTCCTGTCCCCCGTTTCCCCACCCGACACCCCTGGTGCCAGCGAAACATTTTAAATCTCTGGGAGCCAGGCTCATTTTTGAAAGGCATCAATACTCAGTACACTGACATCTGAGGGAAAAGAAAGGAAATAAAAATAAAGCCAGGGCGAAGAAACACAGAACTTTAAAAAAGAGAAAAGAAAGCAGGCCACTCACATATTCTTCTGAGCCAGGATGATGGCATTCACGTCTTCCGAGTTCACCATGCTGAGCACCCGGCTGCAGAAAACACCAGAGGCAGAGGGCTCCATCCTACTGTGAAGGAGGAAAACAGAGAAAGAAGGCTGAGAGACAGTGAGATGTAGAGATTAGTGGAACAGAAGAGGACCAGGTTCAAATCCCCATACCAACATGAAGTTCGCTACATGATACTTTTTATTTATTTATTTATTTAATTGGACTTATATCCTGCCCCCACCAGCCATAGCCGGCTCAGGGCGGCTTACATAAAATACTCAATACATGAAACAATTAAATACTGAACCAATCCCTCCCTTTCTCTTTCTGTCTTTGACTAACCTACCTCCCAAGGTTGATGTGAGAATAATAGTGGGGGAGGGGGGGCATGGACACCATCCTTTATTTCTTGAACAAAGGGTAGGATAAAGATCTAATTCAAAAAACTGAGTAGGTGAGGGAACAAAGGTGGCTTCCTACGCTAGTGAACATAATTGCAGTTATGCAAGAGAAAAGCAGGTGCTGCATCCAGATAACAGACCTCTCCCACTGCTTTGTGGAAGTGAGCCCAGCCGCGGCAGAGAGCAAGAAAGAGGACGCAACCCAACAGCATCTCTGCCAACCAGACTCGAAAATAAACCAAGATTATTATTTGTTTAATTTATACCTTGCTCTATCCCACAAGTGTGCTAAGGGCAGCTCACAACATAACATTCACAAAACAATAAACATAAGATCCACAAAACAACAAAAGCAACAAAACAGTAGATGGCACAATACACAATAACAGCCACAGCTAGGGTTGCCAACTCCAGGGTGGGGAAATTCCTGGAGGTTTAGGTGTGGAAGCTGGAGGGAGGGATTTGGGGAGGGACCACTTCAGCTGGCCATAATGTTATACAGTCTGTCCTATTAAGCTGTCATTTCCTCCAGGAGAACTGATCTCTGTAGTCTGTAGATCGCCTGTAATTCCAGAATTCCCCTAAGCAGGGGGAATGGGAGACCCTAACCTCAGTGGGCCACGGGAGAAGGAAAAGTTGCAGCTATCCCCCCACCCCCTCCCAGGTAAGGACCACCCACTCGGGTTGACACCTGCACCTCCCCCTCCTGTCAGGTTACCATCCTGGCCCCACCCCCCTACAGGCCCCTCCCCCACAAGCCACACCCT